AGATTCTGCCCATCACATTATTGGTCCTATTAAACCTCTGAAAATTCCACATGGCTTGGAGTTACAGTTTTCAAAATTTTTATTTCAAATTTTTGCTACTTCTTTAAAAAACAACCTAGTGGTTTTAGCCTGCATTAAAACAGCCCTAAGCACTGTACATGAAGTAGCAACCATGGAAGTAACCCACTCACTCTTCATCCTGCCTTTAAGAGCAGTGGTTGACCCTTTTCCCTTTCCCTTCTTTTGCTGTGCTCAGTTAGAAATAACTGCTGGTACAAGAAAGCCTTATACTAACGGTGACTTGAACAAAGAGGGGAATTTTTTTTTTTTTCTTCACATATAACATGAGTTTTAGAGTGCCAGTCTAAGCTCTTTTTATCTTTCTGCTCTGCCCTCCTTAGCTGTTTATCCTCTTGACTGATGCCTCATGGTGCTATTATACATGCATACAAAAGCTCAAGACATCACATCTTCTCACCAGAGTCCCAAGTATAAGAGAAGGGGAAGTTTAAAAGACCTTGTCTCATGAAATGCTGGCTTTTCATTGGAAAGTGAAGTTCCCTCAAAGTCTTCCCCTTAGATCTCACTGGCCAGAACTAAGTCACCTGCCCACGCCTACCCTACTCCATGGTTGGGTTACCATAGTGGTTTAGACCTTGCCTGAGCCCAAGGAGGCCCTACCTACCCTGAGGTCAAGGACTCACTGACCACACCCCAGGCCCCATAAGCGTTCAGGAAATTATTGTCAGTTAAAGACAGTGGGCCCTCCCCACATGGGTTAGCAAAAGTTCCAACAGAGGTGAGGCTCCCTCTCCAATCTAGAGATCAAAAGAGCCCCATCTAGCCCCAGAACAGAAATGGCTGTCTCTGCTTAAGGCCAGGTTTCTGTTTACTCAGTTAGAGGGCCCAGATAAACAAAGTCTTTCTTTTAAACACAGCTGCAGCCCTGCAACTTTAGAAACAAGCCATGTTTAATGTTCTAGACCTGAGACCATGTCTTTTAAGGCCATTCATTGTGGAAGATCTGCTAATACCAACAGCATGTCTGACAACAACAAGTACCTCGGTTTACCTTCATTCAAAAATGCGAGTTTCTTTGTTAGTCCCAGAGCCTTGAGATGTCTGGCATGCCAGTTCCTCACCCCTCTTTCCTGCTAAGGATCTAACTGACGAACACATGGGATTCAAACAATCAACTTTATTCAAAGTTCTCTAGAAATGCCTAAATGGGAAAATTAAGAGAGACCTCTTACCTCCCCCTATAAAATCTAAGTATGGGAAGAAATTCTGTTTCAGGCCATATGAAGTAATTATCACCAGACTAGCATTCCTAATGTAAACTGTAAAACTAGGAAGAAATGGTTTTCAGACATTAGCTAACAGGTGGTATAAGACTATAATCCCAGTGAAAACAGAAACTTATGAGGCGACTCCATGCTCACTCAGATCTCAGCCAGAGGACTAGCTCCTGAGTGCAATACACGAAGCTACAGTCCATGACAGTTCTGCAGGGCTGTGGAGACAGAGATCAGAGTTTGGGTCAACTGACGTGACTAGAATCTCCAGGCCAGGGCACTGGAAAGGAAAGAGCTGTGGAGGAGTGAGGGCCCAAAGTCCAGACATTGGGGAGATGGGGGGGGGGGGGCGGTAAACGCACCAACTAAGGGACACGGGCATGCCTCTGACCCTTGTTTGGGTGAGGCAAAGACATAAAATGTTACCAAAATGTTTGTACCCTCATAATATCCTAAAATTAAAAAAAAAAACAAGTTCACGAGGGAGATCCCCTACAAATCTTTGGCAAAGTTAGGCTGCACATGCTCAGGAAAAGGCTTTGTAGAGAACAGCTTCTACAAGACTGAGAGTGTGACAGAGTTACTAGAGGTGAAGCAGTGCTGATGAACATTGAAGCTATGGCCTAGCCAGAGTGAAAGAGACCTAGCTAACATTCCAGGCATCCAGCTAAGACATCGGAAATGCTACTGCTTAGGAATAAGTACAATGTCCTACCTTGACAAAGCCCAAAACAAAAACCTAACAAAATCCATAGGGAAGACCAAACTTGAAGGCTGAATTCCACCAAGTTAGAAATGTTAGAAAAATACACTGGGCTTTCCACAGATCCAGCCAAAAAAAAAATGTAAACTCAAACCTACACAAGTTCAAGGAAATAGATCTGCCTACTAGAAAAAAAAATTAACGCTATTATTTCACAAAACTCAGAATTACAACGTAGAATCCTCAATGTTCAGTGTAAAATCAAAAATTGCTGGATACACACACACACACATACACACACACACACACACACACAGAAAAATAGAAAAATGAGACCCATGGTCAGGGAAAAAAAAAGGCAGTCAAAAGAAATAGACTCTGAATGGCCAGATGTTGACATTGGATGACAGAAACTTTATAGGAGCTATATTCAATTCAATTCAAATAATCAAACAAAAATATGATCTGAATTAGTTAACACACAGGGAATCGCACAAGAGAAATAAAAACTATGAAAAGAGAAAGAAATGCAAATTTTAGAAATAACAAGTCAAATAACTGAAATTTAAAAATGCACTGGATGAGATTGACAGTAGAATAAAAACAAAAAAAGGAAAAAGTTAGTGAACTTGAAGTGAGATCTCTTAGCTTGCAACCTAAATCTAAGATACAGGGAAATTACTAAATTTGAATATCAAAGAGAAAACAGATTGAAGGAAAATGAACTAGTGCCTCAGGGCCTTGTAGAACAACATAAACGATCTAATGTGCAACTGGAGTCTCAGAAAAAGAAGAAAAAGGTAAAAATAAATAGAAAAAATATTTGAAGAAATAATGGCCAAAATTTGTCCAAAATTCATCAAAAACATTAACTTATAAGGTTCAGGGAATCCCAACTAGGATAAATGAAAAGCAAATCACACTTGGTTTTCATAGACAAACTGCTGAAAACGAAGATAAAGAGAAATCTTGAAAGCAGCCAAAGGAAAGAAAGACGTGTTACATACAGAGGAACCAAGATACAATGACAATTTATGTGAGAAAGATACAGAAGCTTCTTGAAATAAACTAAACAAGAGTTAGCACTTTTCAAAAGGGATTTATTTCCTAATTCTGCTTTCTTAGCTATTCCTTGTGTTAATTCCAAACTTAGAAATCTGATCTGTACTTCTTCCTCTAGAAAGTAAGAATGCCAAGATTTTGTGGCTTTGGTCACTTGGAAATAAAATGAATGTGGTTTGAATTCCCTAGTTCCTTCCTGATTAAATTTAGACAGGGAAATAGAACGAGTAGGGTGGGGAAACAGAAAGGAAGGTGGGGAAAAAATTATGAAGTAATATGAGTCAATGTCCTAAGTGATTCCAGCATCTTACAGATTAAGCTATTCACACACTAAAGAAATAATCTTATATGAGGAAGTAAATTATTTTCCCCAAAAAACCCACATAAAGCATTTTTAAAAATGCGATCTACTATTTGTAGACTTACATTAAGATTTAGATTTTATAATATAAAATATAAAATGGGAAAAAGGAAAAAAATTATGAACAAGTAAAAAGAGAAAAGTTATATGAAGTCCAAAAGGAGGAAATTACATAAAAACCAAAAGGGTTCCCTCTAAAGTCCCATCAAAACTATAAGATTATTTTATGAACATAATACAAATAAATTTTTTTAATCATGTATATTCCTCAATTTGAATAAATATTTAAACACACCTGGTAGAAATGCTGAACTATGAAGACTTTTAGTTGTCATAGAGAAAAATAGATAATAGTTCATTAAATTTTTTTGCCATTTTAGATTTCTTATTATCCAGCATGATATATCACTGAGTGTTCTATAAGTACCAATTTTTTTTATTTCAGTCAACATAAAATTCTCTATCCCAGAGAAAAATAAATTTCAGTGGGTTTAACATTTTAACAAAATTTCAGGAAGGATGTTATTATACTTTGCCTCAAAATAGCACTATAGACATTTGGGGGCAGATAATTCTTTGTTGTGGCAGGCTGTCCTGTACATTGTAGGATGTTTAGCAGCATCCCTGGCCTTGCATCCCCCCATCCAGTTGTGACACCAAAAATGTCTCCACATATTGCCAAATGTCCCATAGGTGGCAAAATGGCTCCTTGCTAAGAAGCACTGCCATAAATAGATAGGTCTTTTTCCCCCTACGTTATTCATTAAAAAAAAATGATGCTTGGCTTACAACATACATTGAAAGGAACGATATCTTCCTAGTAAAATGGCTGATGTTAAATTTTAAAGGAATTTCCTTCATTCAATGAAAAAGTTCTCCAACTTTGGAAAATGTTAGATTTTATTGCTGGGTTGAATTTAGATTTTCTTTATGTTTAATTGGTAGGTTTTGATTTTTGCTTTCAAATGAAGTAGACTATACTTTCTGAGATGCTTCATTCATCATTCACTCACCTATGAATAACAGATGCAAATTAGCTAAAAAGAGCTCAGATTGTTATTATTAAAGCAAATAGCAACTATTTCTAAGTCATTTGTCAGAAGAACATGACACTTTCATCCCTTAATTGATCATGGACACATTCATGGTATTGTGAAATAAAAAGACACCTTAGACAGCAAATTGTTCTCAATGAAATTCAACCTTTAGAAAATACAGAACATTTTTTCCTATCAGTTATTCAAATCTAGACATCTCTTTCATCAGTTTAAAAATGTTAGTAAATGTTAATAGACGCTTTCCAAAATGGAACTATTGATCAAGGGCAATGTGAAGTTCTAAAAAGAAAATACTGTAACTTCTGCAGGTTCTGGCATTTCATTAGGTAGAGATGTAACCATAAAATTCACACAAGCAAAGGTATTGTTGCTTCTCCTCCTCCCAAAGAAAAAAATTCCCAGAATCTGCTGTGTGTATTTGTGTGTGTGAATTTTTTTCTAGGAGAAAATACAGAATGTTACAATGTCAGAGGAAAAATGTATGCTCTGAGTCACATGCAAGTCCATCTCATTTGACTCACCTATGTGGTAAAGTCCAATCCAGTCACTGGGATCCACCTCCTCTTTAATATCCCAGAAGATAATGAGGTTCTGGGCTTGCCCCAGCGTGTACTCGTACATGCTGGCAGTTAAGCTGGAGCGGCTCTCCGACGTCACCAGGTCCGTGTCGCTGTTGGCTCGCTGCAGGGTCATGTTCTCTGGCATGGAGCTCTGGGCAGCCAGGCTCTGGAGGTTCTCTGGGCTCAGTGTGTACCGCATCTGGGGATTTCGACGCCGCACAAAAAGCAGATGCTCCCGGGCTGAGCTAGCCATCCCGTCTGCCTCGCTGAGGTTGGCGTACTACAAAGCTGCAAGAGACAAACAAGCGTAAAACACCAGTGCTACCACGCAAAGAATTAGATTTAAGCTTCCCAGACACAAATCCTTGAGGAGTGTTTACTAAAGCCTGACCATGCAATAATCTTCTGCTGTCAAAATAAAAGTTATTATTTTACAGTCAACTGATGATGTCAGAAGGAACTTCTATAGAGTGAGGTCACCCGACAGCGAAGGCTATCACACACCTGTGGCCCTTGATTTCACTTGGCACAGCTGGCTCCTAGCAACTAAAGAGGAGGGGATTTCTCTGCCATCCTCTTAGGTCTATCTTTTCCCAAATACCCCATGTTCAGAAATGGCATCCTCTTCTTTCCCATCCCACACACATATTTATTTCCTGCTACAATTAAATTTTAAAAGAGCAAGATAGAAAATTCTGACACATGCTAAATACAGTTGAAATATACCACTGAGTACAAATATACCATTGAGCCTGCTCAATTTCCTTAGCATAAGAATGTAAAGTCTTTTTCAGGAGCTTGCTCAAATGTCACCTCTTCACTTAAATACAGCGGCCATCACACTTAAAACTGCAGTACACCAGCATTCCCCATCCCTCCTTTCTTGCTTTGTTTCTCTCTATAGCAATTTCTATGATCCGATGTACCACATAGTTTACTTACTTTTTTGGTCATTGTCTACTTTTCCCAACAAGAATGTAAGTTTCACAAAGCAGGGATTTTCATCCGTTTTGTTCACTACTTTATCCCCCGTGTCCACACAGTGCTTGGTACACAGCAGATGTCGATAAATGTTTGTTAACTGAACAGATGAAGGAACGGTGAGCATCTTTCTCCTACATACTCCTTGGCATAACTAATATCTCTACTCCCTCTTCTGAGCCCGCCCCTTGCCGTCCTGACTTTCTGGCTGGTCCACACTATGTGCACCATCTGGATCATAAAAAGCTATTTCCTTTGGCTCCCACTTGGCCTGCATCTAAAGGAACAGGGTCTTCCCTGATGGAACTTAGACACACCGAGTCTGGTTCTAAAACACTGCTAGATGCTGAGAGAGACTCTTCCCAAGACCTGTGTACTTTAACATGGTACATTTAAAGTTCCACCTGCCAGCACCTTTCCTGTTTGCCCATGAGTCTACACCACCTCACCCACACCCCACTGGCTTTACACAGAATAAATCTGATTCTCTTCTACACTGTCCTTGTCAGAACTATCAAATCCGCTAATGCATTTATGGAGTTAACATTTATTCTGCACTCTTAGTATGCACTGGCATCTTCAATATATTATGTTTCACTTCAAGGCAAACCCTATGGGGTCCTGGGAAGTCAGCAGGAGCTTCTATTTAAAAAACAAACGGACTAATCTTGGGTGCAACATATACATTTTAACTATTAATAACAACCTTAAATATTCAGTCTGAGCAGAGGGGAAGGGAAGGGAGGGTTCCCTAATTTCTCCCATTCCCTCATCCAGTTCACAAACCCAGTGGGTGAAGAGGACATGCTTCTGAACAAATAAATGTATTTATTCATGTAATTTCTACCATAAGGTTTATCTCATACTGTTAGCACTATCTCTTGAATTAAAATAACTTGGATTGGTGGACAAGATATTCTATGTTCAAAGGATGGAAATAACAACAAACAGATAAGCTGATTTACCCAGCTTAATGGTATTAAGTATCAAATCCCTCTTCGTAAATTTAGCACTTCTTTTCCTTATGTAGGCTATGGTAACTCTGACATCATAACATGACCCATAACTGTTAGACAATCTCTAACCCATGAAGCCTAAAATATAGGTTCTATTAATAATCTGATGATTTCATGAAATTTCATTTTAGTGGATTTCAACCAGCCATTACTTCTTTATAAACTCAGTGAGTCAAGTACCACATCAGTTTCAGCAATAACTATAAATAATTAACTTCTAACACATCGTAGTCAAATAGAAAATGCAGGCTGTGTATAACTAAACTACTTCCCTGAATAAAACAAATAGCCTAGAACCTTCATAGCTTAAAACCACAGCAGCAGAACTACTGACAATTATTCTGTTCAAGGAAAAGGTGAAAAAACACAAATGTACACCCAAATAGTTGTTTTAAAATGACATCTATTTAAGCAGACAGATAGGTTAGTATAGTGGATTAGACAATAAGCTCCAAAACTCAATGTCTGGATTTCGATCATCTCTCTAATATTAATTCATTCTATGATCTGAGGCAATTTCTTTTAACTCTCTGTGCCTGTTTTCCTAGCTGTCAAGGAGGAAGACAATAACACCTGCCTCACAGGATTTTGGAGAGTACTAAATTAGTATAGATAAAGCATTTAAAACAGTGTGGCACATAATAAGTGCTCAATCAAGTTGAGCTATTAACATTACTACATGACTGCATTCTACTTTAATTATATCAAGGAGAACTAGTTTTAACATTTCCATGATTCCCACCCTCACCCCACCCCCACTTAGTGGGAGAGTAGCCTGCCAGCATCCTCAGTTATTCAAAGCACAGCCCCCAAACCAGAAACAACATAGCCTCAGAGGCTCTAAGGAACACAGCTACCATGAGGCCTGAACCTTGACCCCATAACCCTGACAAGAGCCATTCTCTGATCCTCAAGCCAATGGTAAAAGTTGAAACTTGACTTTCTCAAATAGTGGGTTCAGTCATTCATTCACTCAACAAATTGTTATTGAGCACCTCCCATATGAAAGGCATTAAGCATACAACAGAGCAGAAGACAAAAGCCCCACCCTGGTGAAGCCTACATTCTAATAGGCTCTAATTCTACGTTATTATTTTAACGTAATAAAAGGTCAAAAACTTAGTACATGATATATTTATTTTCAGTGGAAAAATAAAAAGAGCTAGAAATGTGTAAATTTGCTTGTTTAATTAAACCCCTCAAAAATGTATGAAGTACCTACTACTACATGTCTAGCATAATGCTATAGAGTATGCTAAACAGTAAAAATTAAGGAGTTTTTTTTTCTGATTCTTTCATTTCTTTTTCTAAGGAATGTAACATGGTACTTACCCTATGGGAATTTGGACTTTTGTGGGACAAGACCAAATGTTCGTATATGAAAGAATCCAACCTGGTATCAACGGCACGTCATAATCACGTACGATCTGTCCTAACAAATATGTTGTGGACACAATAAATGTTGTGGGACATCAGGAAGTGATCAGAGTATAATATCATTTATAAAGCATTTAACGTTTCCAAAGCACTTTCACACCCCTTATCTCAAGTGAGACCCCAGAATATTACAAATTAAGTTTGAGAGATATCATCGTCATGTTTTCAGGTAAGGAAACTGAGGATTTGTGAGGCAAAAGGGCGGCTGAAGAGGACAGAAAACCCTTGGTGGCAGAAGTTCTATTTGAGATGAGCCTTAAAGAATCAAAAGAAGAAGCATATAAAGAGCATTCTAACTGGAATCACAGATATGGGGAAGCTACCAAGGAAGAGGATATTGGAGAGAAGAAAAAAAAAAACCCAGAAGCTCCTCAGAACCTTTAAAGATGATGAGAATCCTGCAAATAAACCAAGAAGAAGCCCCTGGAGGGGGCGGGTCACCACAGCTCCCACTGACAGACATGGGCCCCACTATGACACAGAAGACCCTGAAGTTCCATGAGGTTGAAACCGCCCAACACTACTGAGCTGGTAAGTCAAAAGGGTAAAAATCAAATTAAAACAGAAGGGAGAGAAACACATGAGCAAAGTGATGGGGGAGAAAGAGAGAGAGAGAGAGAGAACGTGAAAGTCAAGGAAGAAGAGACTCCAAGGAGAGTGTCCAATGCTGCAGCTGAAGGCTGAGGAATTACCACTACATTTGAAAACAGGAGGAAACTAGCGGCCTTAAGGAAAACAGTTTGCATGGAGTGGTAAAAGCGGAGGAAGCCAGATTGTTGAGGTTTGCAGAAGAAGGCTGGGAAGATAAATGGGGGTAAAGAATTCAGGCTCTTCCTCAAAAGGCTGGATGGTAAAGGGGAGGAGGCACGTGGAGAGAGAGGATGATGTGGGTTGAGACAGGGCTGGGCCTGTTTTCTTTTTTGTTTTGTTTGATTTTTAGGATGAGAGAGCTTTTGTATGTTTATAATACTAGCATAGGAACTAAGAACTCAGGAAGTATTTGCTGAATGAATGAAAACTGAGAGAAAAGGGCCAGTAAAGAGAAGAGAATGAAGACGTGGGAAAGAGAGGAGACGCATGACAGAGCAAGATTACTAAGGAAGAACAGAAGTTTGAATACACGGGACAGGTGGAGGATTAGTCTAAACCAGCATGGCCCATCTGAAATATAATGTAACTCACAGATCTGATTTTCTTGTCACCACATTAAGAAAACATAAAAGAAAACAGGTAGAAATTTTAATAATATATTTAACTCAATACATCCTATTACTGTTTCAACATTAATACAAATAATAATTGAGGTATTTTGTTCTCTCTCTTTCTTTTTTGGTACTACAAATCCACTGTGTATTTTACACTTAAAGCACATTTCAATTTAAACTAACCACATCTCAAATGCTCAATAACCACAGGTAGCAGGTGGCTGCTGACTCCCGGGCTGGGCAGTACAGATCTAAGCCATGGCAGTGGCCCAGCTTCTGAACAGCTTGCTTCCTTTTCACCTCCATCCTATCAGAAAGGCCCTCAAGGGAGCTAAGAGGAAAATTGTCACTGAACAATAATGTGTGAATAACCAAGAATTCCTTAAGCCTTCCAAGGGTTCTTTGGTTGCATTTTAGCACGAAGATGCTTTTTGAGCCAAATACGATTATTCTCTAATAGGAATAATCGTATAATCCTGTTATATGAAGATATCCAGTCCAGGGTGGAGAGTTTTCTGGGGATAGACTTGAGGATGAGGAGACTGACAAGTCCCAGAACTCTTTTGTCTCTTTTAGCCTCTTTTCTTCTACTTTGAATCTGTAATGTCCTCAAAAGCAGA